TATACACCACAAACATGTAGGATTCATTCCAAGGATGCAGGAATGGTTGAACATACACAAATCTATACATATAATACATCACATTAATAAAAGCAAGGATGAAAAACACATGATCATATCAATAGGTGCAGAAAAAGAATTTGGCAAAATTCAACATCTGTTCATGGTAAAAACCCTAAAGAAAACTGAAAGTTTTCATCTCAATCTAATATAAACCATCTATGCAAAACCAAAGGGCCAACATCATACTAAATGGAAAAAACCAGAAAGCCTTCCCGCTAGAAACAGGATCAAGACAAGAATTCCTATTAATATCACTCCTGTTCCATACAGCTCTTGAAACATTGGCCAGAGGAATTGGACAAGAATATGGGTAGGAAAGGAAGAAGTTAAATCATCATTACTTGTTGAACATGTGGTCATCAATATAGAAGACCCTGAAAACTCCACCGAAAGACTCCTAGAATAAATAACCAAATTTGGTACTGTGGTAGGAGACAATGTCACACTCTGAAATCAGTAACATTCCTGTACATGAATAATAAACTCACCAAGAGAGAACTTAGAGAAATAACACTTTTCACAATAGCATAAGAAAAGTGAAATACTTAGGAATTAACCTAATCAAGGAAGTGAAAGACCTCTACATGAAAACTATAATACTTTGCGTAAAGAGATTGAAAAGGATACCAGAAAATGGAAAGATATCCCAGTTCCTGGATATGGAAAACCAATGTAAAAAAAATGGCCATCCTTCCAAAATTGTTATACATATTTAATATAGCCTCAATCAAAATACCAATAGTATTTCTCACAGACTTAGTGAAAATAATCCTAAAATTCATATGGAAGCAGAAGAGACCTAAACTAACAAAAGCAATTCTGAGCAACAGGGGCAAGGCAGGAGAAATCACAGTATCAGATTTCAAGATATCTTATAAAGCTGTGGTGATAAAAACAGCATGGGACTGGATGTTTGGATCAGTGGAACAGAAGATGCAGAAACAACTCCAGGCACATCCAGCTACCTAATTTTTCACAAAGGAGCTGAAAAACTTTCTTGGAGGAAAGACAGCCTCCTTAACAAATGGTGCTGGAAAAGTGGCTTTCCACGTGCCTGAGATCGAACTCACTCATATCTGTCACAATGCATTGACTTAAAACAAAATGAATAAAAGATCTAAATATTAAACAATTTTCTGGAAGATGTAACAGGTAAAACTCTTGAGGATGGGTATAGGCAAGGACTTTCTGAAGAAGAAATATTACAGACTCAACAAATGGGATCACATCAAGTTAAAAAGCCTCTGAACAGAAAAGGAAACCACCAACAGAATAAAGTGACAACAGGAAGAATTGGAAAAAGAATTCAGTTACTCCTAAGATAGAAGACCAAGATCTTCAGTATACAAATAACTCACTTTTATTAAAGATTCTTGAGGTAGGTATTGATGACCTTCTAAATTTTCACAGGATCCATTGTGATTCCACCCTCTTCATTCCTAACTGCATTAAACTGATTTTTTTTTCTTTCGTTTTTTGAGTAAGATTGGATAAAGACTTAATTTTATTGAATCTTTCAAAAACCAAACTCATTGTATTAATTTCTGCTGTGATCTTTATAATTTCCTCTGTCATATGAGCTTTGAATTTGACTTGTTCTTTTATCTAGGCGTTTGAGATTCAACATTAAGTTGTTTATTTGTGTTCATTCTGTTTCCCCAATAACAGAATTTACTGTTACCACTTTCCCTCTTAGGCAGCATTATTGTTTAATTTTAGATGCTGTTTAATTTCTTCTTGGTCTTACCTGTAACCTATTGGTTGCTCAGGAGGGTGTTATTTAATTTTCAGGTATTTATGGACTTTCTGTCATTTCTTTTGCTACTGATTTCCAATCTCTTTGCGCTACAGTCAGACAATATGCATGATTTCAATTTTCTTTATTTACTTAAGCATGTTCTTTGGGCTGGTTCATAGTCTATTTTGGAGAAGAACACATGTGCAACTGAGAAGAATATATATTCTGGTGTTATGGGATGGAACATCACGTATCTATTGTAGACATTTTTAAGTCCATTTGTTCACTGACTTGGTTCAATTCTGGTATTTCTTTGATTTTTTTTTTTTTTTTGTCTAGTTGATCTACTGATTTGTGACAGAGAGGCATGATGTTTGTTTGTAACTAGGACATAAAAAATAACTAAACAAAATCAGATCCCCCCAAATTCAAAGAATGGGCTTTTGAGGTGAATACACACTTCTAAAAGTACAAGTGGCAAATAAGTATATCAAAAAGTGTTTAACATTATTGGTCATTCAAGAGATGCAAATTAAATTAACACTGAGATTCTATCTCACTCTAGAAAGAATTGCTATTATCTAGAAATCGACTAATAACAAATGCTCGTATGGCTGTGGTGGAGAAGGAACCCTTCTCCACTGCTGGAAAGAGTGTAGACTGATGCAACCACTGTGGAAATCAATGTGACGAGTCCTCAGAACACTAGAGGTAGAAGCCCTTTTGCCTAAGCTATTCCCCTTCTTGGGCTCTCCCCCAAAGAATTAAAAGCATCATACCACAGAGATATACGTGTGTCTGTGCTTATAACAGCACAATTTATAACACTTATATCTTGGAAACAACCCAAATGCCTATCATCTGATGAATGGATAATGGAAAAAAATTTTTTTAATATAATGGGTACTACTGAGACACTTACTGCTAAATGGATGCACCTGGAGATCATACTCTTAGTGAAATACATCAGATTTAAACATGTGTAAATGTCATATTGCCTTTCTGGTGTGAGAAACTGAAAGTGTGAATAAGAACCAAAATGTACAATAGATATAAGGTGAAATAAGGAAAAATTGTTCAAAAGGGGAACTAGGAGGCGGAAGGAAAGAAAGGAAGGGGAAAAATGAGAAAAAAAGGATGAAATGGGAACAATGCTTTGAAACTAAAGAGGGGGAAGAGAGGCTGAAGAGAGGGAAAGGGAATGAGAAAAAGCCCCAGGAGGATCAAGACGTGACACGCACAGATACGAATTCCCTATAACGGATGTGCTTCCAGAGGAAAGCAAAGTCTGGAGTCAGTTTCAACATAAAGGACAAAACAGGAACCAGGATACAAAGTATGGCAAAATGTGTTACAGGTAGAACACATGTTCTGACTGTACACTCTCCTCTTTTTGGAGTGTAGCTCTCTCCTACTTTAGGTAAGAGTATCAACCTCCTTCCAATATCCACATTCTGTAGCTACTTACAAAATACCCTGTCTTGAAGCAACTAAATTCTAAGGTGGAATTATATATTTATATTTTCATTTATTTATTCAGGCAAGAATAGGAATTATAACTCTTGTTCCTGCATTGTATTCAACCTCTAGCAAGTTCCCGGCACACAGTACATGCTCAATAAGTACTTGGTGAATGACTTAATGATTTTGAACAAATGTGAAAGTTTGGAAATGCTGGGGCACTTTGAGTTCGAGGACCTCCCAGTAGCACAGGCCAGACTCTCACATCTTCCTCAGCCTTAGAGTGGTAGATGACCACTAAGGAGCTTTAAGCTGGTGGAGGGTGGGGTTTGGCTCCTTCTCATATCTGCGCTGAGAGGGAATGGGAATGGCAGTAAAATGACCATTTGGAAGGTTGCTTCAGCATTTCAGCTGAGAAGCAGCAGAGGCCTGAACTGCCTGTGCAGTGGGAGTGGCAGGACGTGGGAGCAGCGGGAGTGGTCTGAGTGCTATCGTGGGGGGCAGTGGGGAGTTCCAGGAAGGAGAAGAGGAGGCCAAGTGGTACAGGGCTTTGCTGTGGACTGCTGTGCTTCCTGAAATAGTCACTGACAGAGAAATGAGAAAAAGGGATGAGATCTGAAAGGGAAGGCTCAATCCCTGCCAGTAAGATGGACATCTCAAGCTTCAGACAGTACTGTCCTACAGGCTTACAGGAGCTCTGACCTCAAAAATGCCAATTTTTTATAGCATTGCCTTAAAGATTATAACTGAGCCCTGGGTATAGGGAAGGAATTCCAGAAGCACATACACAGGACAAGAAGAGAGCATCGGGGAGTCTCAGGAACACACAATATTTAAGATAGAAGTGATAGAATTAGAGTTCACACACACACACTTAGGCAAAGCAAGCAAAGAAGACAGATGAAAAATGCTAACGATACCTAGGGGAAAATGTTGCTTTTCCTGTAGAGGATGGTGTAGTTAAACTTCTAAGGTATAAAGAAGCTGAGGAAGACACTGAAAAGTAGCCACTGGACTTAACAAAGGAGTTATCAGTGACCACCAAAACCAAGTTCACTGGCACAGCGAAGACAGAAATCTCATTCCAGAGTGCAAGGAGAGGTGACTGGAAGATTGCCTGAGGTGACCCCTGTTTTCAGCCACTTAGTTGAGGGGAAAAGCACAGAGAAGATAGCTAGGGATGGACAACAAGTTTAAGAATGGCGGCTTTTTTTTTTCTTTTAACGGATTACATTTCTTTTTTCAAAAAATTTTATTTGTGTGTGTGTGTGTGTGTGTGTGGCCAGCTCAGCCCACCAGGGGGCGGGGCTGGCTGGCATGTGGTGCTGGGGGATTGAACTGCGGTCCCTGTGCTTTGCTAAGCTTGTTCTAAGTAGGTGCTTTAGACCACTGAGCCATCTCACCAGCCCCACATTTAATTCTTAAAAACAGAAGTTCTGTCAAATAGTCCTCACTGCCCTGCACATTGCTTCTGCCCACCAAGGAGGCCATTACAGAACATGCTGAAATGAGTTTCTAGTCTCCATGTTCAAAGACAAGCAACAACAGATTCCGAAGCCCCACTGCCCTTCTGGTCACTACTGCTGTTGGGTTATTCATCAGTTCCCTTCCTACTGGACAAAACATCCTCCTTTCATTCCATCTTCCGGGGCCTGGAGAGACACTTCTTTGACCATATTAAGAAAACATGAGGGAATGGCCCACGTATCAGCAAGGACAGAACGGTAAATTCACTTACTTTGCCTCGCTCTCAATAGTGTTCACGTCATCGTAGATAACAACTTCCTGAGACCTAAGTTCTAGATCAACAAGGGAACAAAATAGTCCATTAGTAGGGAGGTTTTCCACAATGCCTGGCTTTTCAAATGGTGCAGTTAAAATTTAATTATTCAGCTGAGTTGTCAAGGATGTCTTATCAAAATCTTACTACACAGGGAGGCTAGAGCAAAAAGATTTTCTATTGGAAAGAAATTCAACTGACAGATTAAAAAGATAGATGCCCTAGTACATCAGACAGGTATATGTGTTTATATTAATTTGATTTCATGGAGAGTTTAGAAAATACGAGTTGCTGAAAGAATCACTTTTAGACTAGTTCTAATCTTTCTGTAACTGAAAAAAGGGATTTATACTGCTAGAGTGTGAGAGGGCTTCTCTTAATTCCCAGTAGGAGAAAAATTCAGAATATTAATGATCATTTTTCCTCTATGAAATTTTTATTTTAAACTACTGGGAAATCCTTCATAATATCCTCGCATTAGACTTAATCTGCCTTAGTGTCTAATCATTTCTAGACATTTTCAGGGTACAATATTCATCTGCCTTGACATTTCTTCTAGAACTGCATGGTTTCCAAGTATTTCACCACTAGAATCTGAGACCTTTTGGCATGTGTATTCATAACTCAGATTCCATTCATAATTATTCATCACCTTGGTCATTTTCTTCTATACCTTTCAAATGGGGCCAGGAGGAAAAAAGTGACATTCTTTATTTGAAACAAAGCACTAGAATTCAAATCTTTTGAATTTAGGAATATCTGCCTATATATAATGAGCTATCTTGGGAATGGGACCAATCCTAAACTAGAAATCTATTTTCTGTACACACTTCATACCGATAGCCAAAAGGTAATTTTATACAATACTTTTTACTCTGCCTGTGATTGATTGATTGATTTTGGTGGAACTGGGGATTGAACTCAGGCCCTTGCTACTGAGCCATCTCCCCGACCCCACTGTCTGTGTTTTAAGTACAACTTATTGTATTTGGCCCAGTGTGCAATCTCCCACTTGTGACATCATGCCACAGAGTGTCTCAGAGTATTTTGAATTTTAGAGTTTGAGATGAGGGACACTCAAACCCAAGTCTACATGAAATAGAATAAGAACACATCCCTTAGAATAAGAACACATTCCTATTTAAGTTAGGTATTATTATTTTTTAAATCCAGACCATGGATATATTTAGAGATTTGCAGTATACCAGGCATATATAATCTTTTTTTATTTACTTTTTAAACCTCCAGCATGTGGAATATAACATACATTTGACTTGCCAAGTCAAAATCAAATCTGAGTAGTTACGTGACTAGAGCTCATAAAAACTAATGAATACCAACACGTGATTCTCTTTTATCAACAAATTCAATGTTTGCACATGACTGAGAATGTACTACATGTCAGATACTGGCTAATTTATGCACCATTGTTTTAGTGGCAAAGTAAACAATATTCTGAAGACTTATTCTTGATTCTGTGCAGGCTTGTTCTTAATAAACTGACCTGGCTATCATATCCATGAAGTACGTGGTACAATGTCAAATGCTTGAGATTCATGGTCCAAAAGGGCTGAATAAAAATCTCAGATTGCTTAAGGATACACATGGGTCCTTGGCCTTTCTGAACAGGGATGAGAGCATTGATTTGTGTGGGAAAGCAACTGCCCCAGCGTGTAGTATATGCTGCGACTCTAGAAAGGGTTCTTAACTTCCTCAAAGTTAGAAACACTCTTGTGTGAAAGGCCCTTTTGGATTTTATTTTAAAAAAAAATGTATTTAGGACAGGGTCTACAGGGTCTCACTACATAGATTGGACTTACAACGATTCTCCTGTTTTCAGTCTCCCAGGTGCTGGGATTACAGGCATGCTCCACCGTACCCAGTCTCAATTGCTGTCTCAGTGTGCCCCAGAGGCAGGGCTGTCACGGCCCGCTGGGGACGGAACCTGTCCCCTGTGCTCTGCCTAAGCAGCTGCTTTAGTCCACTGAGCTATCTGGCCGACCCTCCTTTTGGATTTTGATGGGCCTTTGTTTTCACTGAACATGGGAACACACGGATTCTGTCTCCTTTTCCCTGCCCCTCAACAGACTAATATCTGAGTACCTTTGGTCACCAAGAAGTAAATGTCACTTACGTAAATCAGGCAGTGAAACTGAAAACGCCCTGTGGGGTAACGAAAGACATGAGAAGGTCAAGGACAAAGCCTCGTTCAGGAAAATTAGCTCATGTTTCATAAATGCAGTGACAGCCAGGTGTCCTCACTCAGATCCTTCCTGCAGGGATGGGAGCCACACCTCTGTAGCTTTGCTGTGGTCACCCCCAACTTCTACCACCACCATCATCAAGTGTACTCACGATGTGCTTCTGTATCCCTCTTGGTGTCTGTGGCCCACTTCTTAACTAGGCAAATCAGGCCGCCCCAGAGCCTACGCTGTCCTACCACAGCACTCTATTTCTGTCTGCTAACTTTCCAAAAGGTCAATCAGGTTCATTCAGTGTGTGTACGTATTGTGAGACAGAACCACCTCCAGAGGAATTTACGGAGACCCCATGTAGACGCTGCTTCCTGCTTGTGGTGGTTCAGGCAAAGGGGACTTAGTGGTGAAGCCCAGGCCAGGCAGGAGTAAAAGATGGTGAAAAGCTAAACTGGCAAAGACATATTCGTGCTGTGGCTAGACCTGGTACTCTTCAGATCTCACTGTTAAGGAGATCACGTGGAAAAAAGTGTGTGTGTGTGTGTGTGTGTGTGTGAGAGAGAGAAAGTGAGAGAGAGAGCGTGTGCACATACGCCCACACATTTGTGTGAAACCTGTATATTTTAAGGCTTCAATTTAAATTCAGTCCTACAAGTACATTTGGAGTATGCACCATGGGCCAGGCTCTTGTGGGTGCTATGTAAAATGACTGGACACTGTTTCTCTCCTTAAATACCTTAAGACTTAGTAAGAGAGACCAAGAATAAACTAACAGGAGGTGGCTCCCCTGCCATAGTCATGGCTATGAACATAACTTGTGTTCTGAGAAAACCTAGATAGAAAATCTCAAAATCTTAATGCTTTGTCACTGAAAAGAACTTCAGAATCCAATAGCATAATTTCATCTCTGTATTGTAATCATCTTGGAAAATTATTTTACCATCCCATATTCTCCCAAAATACAGATATATCTCTATGTACCTAACTATCTACATCTATGTATCTACCAAAGAGACAGAAATGTCTACAGACATGATACAGTCCCCCTCTGTTGTCCACAGGCAGATGCTTCAACTCTAAGCATACATGGAAGCATTTGCCCATGGTTTCAAACTGGTTACCCGGCTGCACTGAAGCTAGAGTTCAGGATGCCTGTCTCTGTCACTACCGGTGACACTGGACTCTGGGCACTAGCCTCAGAGACCTGGGGAGGCCTTTCCACAGCAGAGACTTTGATGCAGTGTCCTGCTGCAGGCTCATCTCCCCACGTTGCACACCCCTGCTGTCAGTGGAGACACCCAACTCCTGCTTTCCCCTTTGTGCTTCTAAGAAGCAAGCAGAGCATATCTGTGTGTCTGCCAGCCCGGCAGCACCGAGCCCTCCTGGAAAGAGAGGAAAGAGACTTTTACCTCAGATTTTCTTTTGACTTGATCGCCTTCATTTTAAATCTGTCCTTTTCTTTTCTGAAAAATTGTTGCAGTCTTTTAAGAGCTTCTTTTCCATCTAACCTAAAAGCAATCAGAGGACAAAATACATGCCATTTGAGGTAGAAAGCTATTGTATTAAAAAGGGCCCAAAGCTTCAGTCTGGTTTTGAAAACCTACCCCACTGAAGGCAGAGCAAAACCAAGATGCTACTGGGCTTTTCTTTATTTACATTTCAAAGGAGCACACACTAATCAGTTGTGAAGGAAGAAATCATATCACAGGACACATTTCATTTACTCTAAATAGCTCAGTTTTTTGAGAGTTTATGGAGTAAATTCTTCCTTTCACAGGAAGTATCTTAGGAAATCACATGTCACAAACTGTTGTCAATACACTGTAGGAATTCCTGGCTCCTGAATCTTCAATCACTGGTTTTATAAATTTCCATATACTATAGTAATAGTGGCTGGCACCTTGACTGCCCAGTTGATGATTAAAATTCTCCCAAATATCGGTTTAGGAAGGAAGGGAGTGTGACATTCATCCCACCCAGTATGACAAACTCAAGATCCGCTCTTCCCTTCAACCCTTAAAACTCCTCACTTTTGACCACTGCATTCTCTCTTTCCAAAATGCGCTAACTAAACTTCGTGAACAATGTTCACTTCAACAAAGATTGGTCTCTGTAACAAATTACTGGATACATCAAACCCAAGTCCCAGTTTGCCTCATTAACTTGCCATGACAAACGTATTATAACCATTGATTTGTTCATGGAAACCAACTATAAAATTAAAGCAAGCTTTTTTTTTTTTTTTTTTTTTTGTGGAACCCGGGATTGAACTCAGGCCCCTGCACTTGCCAGGGAAGTGGCTATTCCACTGAGCCATCTCCCCAGCCCCTAAAGCAAGCTTTTAAAAAAGTGTTTACTTCTCCATTCTGAATTCCAGGCACAATATTAAATTCTTCTACTCTGTGAGATTGGCATTTTCTCAAAAGTGAAAGCAATGTAATTTAAAATTTCTAGCTTGTGATGTACATAACTGCAAATATCATGTTAGTCACAGTGTAATGGTTTATCATCACTTTCTCTCTGCACCAACCCGAAAGCACTGTGGTGGGCTAGCGTTATTTCTTTAACTCTAGTCTTCTAGACAAACAGGCAATTTCATTAACCTACAAAGTCAAGAAAGAGAAACTTACTCTATTTGGGAAGAATTGCTCTTTGTTTTGCAGACATCGTCATAGATTTCTTCACTACTTTCTTCTGAAACTAAAAAGAAATCTATATTTATTCAGATTAATAACTGACAAAAATGACTAGATACCTACTGTATTCTAGGTACTTTGGTCTTTACATTGTTTTCATGGAAACTTACACAGTTTTATAGGCAAAAATACTTTATTAATATATAGAAACGGAAAGTTAGACTCACTGGCAGTTGATTCTAAGCGTGATCCAACTTCAGCTATTTATCGACAGAAGCCTTTGCCTCACCCTCTCTCCTTTCCACATTTACTACACAGCAATCAGAGCTGTCTATGCAATACACTCTGTGCTCAATGCTGAAGAAAACAATGGGAGACACAGTGCATCCTGAACAATCTCTGCCTTCACAGCACGGCTTTGTTCTCGCCCAACACATATGCCTACGATGCACTGGTGTACATCGCCTCTCTCCTGGCAATGGATTCTATGGGAAGACCATTGCATTGAAGGTCTAAAGGTCTAACTTTTAAGGTTCACAACTTGACTTAAGCCAAACACATAATGAGCATTAAATGTCCACTTCTCTGTGCCTCAGTTTCCTTTTTCTATGAGGGAGTTGGATTTACTCCTCCCTAAGGTTGCTTCTCTGGGATTCTAAAGAGAAAACCAACTACAGTAGCATTTCATTGCTCTTTACTACTTTTTCTTCTGACAAATAAAAATTATACGTGTTCATGTATAGACCGTGATGTTTTGGTAACTGTGCATGTCATGGAATGACTAAATCAAGCCATCCCACATATTACCTCACACGCTTTATTTCTGTGGAACATTAAAATGTACTTTTTAAAAGTGATTTTCAAGTGTATAGTATCCTGTTATACAATGAAACAAAATTGTCATGACGACTGTCTAGTAGATATCCTGATGTTATCCCTTCTGTCTAAATGACATTTTTTAATCATTTGTTCAGTATGTCCTCAGATTTTAAAATTTGTTCATTCTTTCACTTTATTTATTTTTTATTTATATTTGTGTGTGTGTGTGTGTGTGTGTGTGTGGCCAGCTAAGCCCACCAGGGGGCGGGGCTGGCTGGCATGTGGTGCTGGGGATTGAACCGCGGTCCCTGCGCTTTGCTGAGCTTGTTCTAAGTAGGTGCTTTAGACCACTAAGCCATCTCACCAGCCCTTTTTTTTTTTTTTGCGGAACCGGGGATTAAACTCAGGGCCCTTGCACTTGCCATGCAAGCGCTTATTCTACTGAGCCATCTCCCTGGCCCCTTGTTCATTCTTTCATTCACTGGATATATTTAAAGAAAGATTTCTGTATGCACCGGGCATCGTGCTGGGGCTGGGAGAAATGGTAAACATAAAGAAGGCAGTATTCTAGGAGGGAAGACAGGTATTAGTCAGAGAAGAACATACCGGTACGCTCACAACCTTGGCAAGTGGCAGAAAAGAGGGGCCTGCGGCACGAGAAGGTTGTGTTCCAAGGGGGGGGGGGTGTGACAGCTGAGATCCAAAGAGAGCTGAGTGTCATCAGCAAGAGGACCCTGGGAGAAATTCCCAAAAGGCAGGATGGCGTCTGTCAACACCCTCCTGGAGTGTGGCACTGGAAACCAACAGAAGGTGGGCACAATGATGCCAGCCACATATGGCCTCAGACTATGTTAATCCTAGACAGATTGGGAGCTGTGAAGGCGTTTTAAGTAAAACACTCCGCTAACCAGATGTTCACCATATAGGAAGAAAGCAGTCTCACAGTTTCACTGCTTTTCACCCCAAGAACGCCTTCATCTACCTTGCCTACGCGCCTCCAACGGCACATGCCTTGAGACCACTTCTCTTAGCTCACCCTCATCCTACCCAATTTCTGCTATGGAAAAGATGGATACATAAAGCCCTCAGAGGCCCTCTCAGCTCCCGTGGGCTTTTCGGAAATGTCTTCCTGGACTTACCACTGTCTGAGGTGAATGAGCTAGAGAAGTCCGACTTGGATCTGTGGGAGAAAAGAAACAAGACAGCTAACCCATTACACCTTTAGTCTTGTCTCCTCTACCTCTCTGGAGGGCTGGAGCATACATACATGTCTGCCCTGAGGCAATCCACGTCATCATATGTGGCCTGTGACACGGGACGTGGATTAAAGGCCACCAGGTCCTGGGGGTGTGCAGTCAGCTCCAAAGCCTTCTCACAGCCACCTGCAAGGAGACGAGAGAGCCCCTGAGGAAGGGGCAGCCACCCACTGCCACCACAGGTGTGTGCACACGTTACAACAGCAGGGGGGGCAGACCAAATGTGCGGAGCCTGGAAAGGAGCCTGGGTAGGCGCACTCCTTGGACGGTATGCTCCGCCCTGCAGTCCCCAGTTAGGTTCCTGTGGGGTTATGGATAACCATGGGAGCACTTCTGTGACCGTGCTGAGGCCTCAGTGCTTATTTCTGATGAATCCTGGTTCCTACTAAACCAGTAACTGCTCTGGCTTTGATGGCTCTTTCACCAATCTAACCTCAAGGGCAGAGGTCCTTCAGGATCTCCCCCCGAGGCTCTTCTTACAGCCTAAATGACCTCCTGAAGTCCTGTGGACTTTCTTCTTGTGATACCATTTCTCAGGGAAGTTGGTTGGAGGTGTCCTGTGTGTTACCTGTTACTGACAGAATCAGGCAGAAGCGAGTGCGCCGGCTGGAGGCCGTCCTGGGGTGTTGCACAGAGCTGGCCTGTTCCGTTTAGGTGCTGGGTTATACCTGGGTGTCCTGCATTTGTCATAACCATAAAACTGCCAGCTATCACTGGCAACATCAGAATTGAGAGCATTTGTGATTCAGAGCTCTTTGAAGACATGAACTACGAACCACAAATAAGAGGTGGTGTGCTTAAAAATTAGCAGGCAAAGCGACTAGAATCTATTAATTAAATGCTCAAAACAGTCGTATCTTACACACTGGCAAGAGGGAATCCAGCACAAATGCCCCAAATCATCTCCGAGGGGGCTGCTCCCAGCAGCGAAGATCACCGCTTCTCAAGGACTTACCAGTGTTTCTCAGCACAAAATAAAGACGCTAAACACACAGCTGGGCAGCACACAGCCTGGCTCTTTGCTCAGTGCCCGCCCTGTTCCCTCCTACCACCCTGCCTCTGAGTCCTTTGCCTGCTTGAGTTGGTGTGGATATTACTGATCTTAGCTCACGTTCACGACACACAAGGTTTGCACGCACAGAAGTCATCAGGCTTCTGCATGTGACATGTCTTTACCTATTTCTCCTTTCTCCCTCCCCGCCCTCTGTCTGCTGGACCTCTTCCCATTTGCAAGAGATTCATCCCTTCTTTCCTTCCAGCCTCCCTTTATTAATCTATTTACTTATACTTCATTTTACTCAAATAAGAGACACCATATGGATTTACATTTGTGGGACTGATTGATTTCGCTCGACAATATTTTTTCCCAGGATATCTATTTCCATACAAAGACCTCGAAAGTATCCTTCATTATAGCTGAGCAGTATTCCATCATGTATAGATGCTACCTCTTCTTTTTCTTTTTTATGTATTTGGTACAGGGTCTCACTTCACAGCTTAGACTCATAGTGATCCTCCTGTCTCAGCCTCCCCAGTGCTGGGATTACAGGCATGCAGCACCACACCGTCTCGGTGGCCAGGCCCTGTGCTTGCATAAGCGGGCACTTAGACCACTGAGCTAGCTTGCTGGCCCTAAGATTCTACCTTTTCTTTATCCGCTTGTCTGTTAATTCCTTATAATATTCTTAATTTAGATACATTTATGCATTTCTCATCGACTTTAGACTTTCAGGATCATTCATTCATGACTACTTGAAGATTGTGACTGCCACCAACTCCATAGGCCTCCTTAATTTTCTTTGTTTTATTTTTCACAACATTCACTACTATGCCATATAGGGGTATATTTATTATGTATGCATGTGCTATGCCTCCTTTGGTCACACCGTAACTCCAGGGGGAGGCATTTGGTCTCTCATTTGCTGCTGTGCCCGTGGTCCCTAGATCAGTGCTGGGCACAGCAAGTGCTCGAGTCCTTTTGGAATACTGAACCACTGGAATCCGTGTCTTTTCTAACTAATGAGGTTAGTGGCCACGTAGAAGACCCTGGACCTCCCCCCACTTGTTTACGGATGCTTTTAAGTTTGCATAGACTTTTATATACTATTTTTATTACATTCCATTTTTCCTTTTTTCTTCTTTTCCCCTACATTTTTTTTTTTTTTTTTAAGTAGAACATATTGGTCAGACAGAGTAATGGTTTTCATTTTGGTAGATTTGTGCAGCGAGCAACTTTAATCATTTCCCCCATAATTCCTTTTGTTCCACTGTTTCCTATTTGGGGAGAAGGTTGTTTCAGTGCACATAATGTATTTGGAGCATATTCATCTCCCCATCATCTGTCTTTTTCTTTCTTTTTTTTAAAAAATGTATTTAGTACAGGGTCTACAGGGTCTCCACAAGTCCAGATTGGACTTGTGGCGAGCCTACTATTTTCAGCCTTCCAAGCGCTGGGATTACAGGTGTGCGCCACCCACGCCCAGTCTCAACCATCTCAGCACGTCCTGGGGCAGGGCTGGCACCAAAAGCTGGGCAACTGAATCTTTTCCTTGATTGAGTCGTTTCTTTCTTCATATGCTTATTTATTTTCCTTCTTGTTTTCAAGGTACGTGTGTTGTCTATCTTTTCACAGCCACTCTGTCTATGTTAAAGTTTAAGGATGGAACGGTTAGAGGAAAGGATCTCCATGTACTGGTACAGATCAGTGAATTTTCCCTGGTTTAAGGCCTCCACACAGATCAGAGCCAGCCTCACCAGTGGCCCAGAGCGCCCCCTGGTGCCCTCTGCCAGCAATTACGTTCTCCTGCAGGTCAACTGCTCTCCTGACTTTAAATAGCACACGTACATTCTGCTTATAAACTGTGAGAATTCTAGTTGGTTTATAGCTTCACTATCACTCGACAGCTTTTGTATTTAGCATTGAGTCTGTTTTGATGGCAGATAGGTTGCATCTGTCTTTCCTCAGCTCATAAGGTTGAGTTTCATATTGTGTTTGCTTTTTCATATAACTTGGGTGACATGCCCGTCCAAACATTTTCCCAGTTTCACTGTATTTCTTTTTTAGTATTGATTTCTATGTTGTATTTTCTGAATATAAGGTGTTTATAGAAGAGTTATGTATTATCTACGTGAGCCTTTGGTCAATTACATAACTTAAGCAAATGTCTCTCCTATTTCATAAGGGCCGGCGAGATAGCTCAGAGGACTAACTGCCTGCTTTGGCATAACTTAAGCAAATGTCTCTCCTATTTCATAAGGGCTGGCGAGATAGCTCAGTGGACTAACTGCCTGCTTTGGCAAGGAGCCCTGGTGCTGCATGACACGCTGGCCCCTCGCCCGGACCAAGGGTGCACTGAGCTGGCCACAGAGTCCGGGTGTGGTGGTGCATGCCTGTAATCCCAGGGTTAGGGAGGCTGAAAATGGGAGGATCACTATGAGTCCGAGCTGTGTAGTGAGACCCTGCACCAAAGACATTAAAAATAAATAAATAAAATAAAAAATAAATGTTCCTAGTTTTCTTTCACTCTCTTCAGCATGAAGCAAATTAATATCATTACTTTTTTTCCCCAACTGAAAACCTCAGAACATTTAGACTCTGATCACCTTCTCATCACCCGCGGTGCTCAAGCTCAGTATTACCGTCTCCGCTCAACTGGACACTATTACTTTCAATTGACACTTTGGCTCAGCAAGTTTAGGGATAGTAAGAAAAGCAGCTATTTGGATCATTTTTCTCCTACCTTTATAAAGTTCATGCTTCAGATGTTCCTTCAGTATCTTTCAATCAGTGTAACAGCTAATGAGGATCATCAGCTTGAGGGTCACTCCTGGGCGGGCTAGGGGGACATGGCCTCGGGTCTACACCTGATCCTGTGTTGTGGAACTGACTTGTGGGAGGAGTTTGAAAGCTGGAAGACGAGGTCTTCCACAGAAGCCCTGCAGCGCTACAAGCAGGCCTGATGGGGGATTCTGGAGGGAGCTCAGCACACCAGGGCGCCACTAGGAAAGTCAGCTCGAAGACAGGGCGCACGCATGAAGTTCCAGGTGGGAGTCTGTCGAGCATCATACGGTGACGCTGGGCGGCATGTTTAGGCAAAGAATTTGCCCACCTTTCGTTCATGTCCTAAAACTTTGTGCAGCTGAGTGTAAAGACGACAGACTGATCTGACGGGAAATCTCCAGGCAGCACGCAGTGTTCCAGCAGTGGTACCGCTGTCGCTGCCCGCTTTTAGCTCGAGTTCCAATGGGAACTGGGAGAATGAAGGAGTTCAGAAAGGCTTGAACATTTAATCTGGCCAGAAATGAAGTGTGTATTAAAATAGGGCCAAAGCCAGTGTAGTGGCTGAGCTAACGAGGTGCAGACGGTCTGCAGGCATGCCCGTGTGGGTATCAGCACAGTGCCAACAGCTAAATCTTGGAAACAGCCCATGTGCCTATCACCAGATGAATGAATAAAGAAAACGTGGTATTGTAGGCCTTTTTACCAAGATGGCACCAAAGGCGAAGAAGGAAGCCCCTGCCCCTTCCAAAGCTGAAGCCAAAGCAAAAGCTTTGAAGGCCAAGAAGGCCGGGCTGAAAGGCATCCACAGCCACAAAAAGATACGAACGTCACCCAACTTCCACCATCCCAGGACACTGCAGATCCGGAGGCAGCCCAAATACCCTCGGAAGAGCACCCCCAGGAGAAACAAGCTTAACCACTATGCCATCATCAAGTTCCCCCGACCACAGAGTCAGCCATGAAAAAGATCGAGGACAGCAACACACTCGTGTTCATGTGGATGTCAAAGCCCATAAGCACCAAATCAAACAGGCTGTAAAGAAGCTCTATGACACCGATGTTGCCAAGGTCAATACCCTAATCAGGCCTGATGGGGAGAAGAAGGCATATGTTCGACTGGCTCCTGATTATGATGCATTGGATGTTGCCAACAAAATTGGGATTATCAAAACTGAGTCCAGCTGGCTAATTCTAAATATATATTTTTCTCAGTTTAAAAAAAGAAAACATAATATTTTCTGTACAATGGAGTACTATTTTGCCAAAAAGAAGGCTGAATTTGAGGGGGTTTTTGTTTGTTTGTTTTTTTTTAGGTAAATGTACACACTTCAAGACCATAATCTTA